GTATGTTGCGTTAGCAGATACTATTTCTGTAAATGCAGAGGTCAATATTAGGTCAGTCCATGTGATAGGTTTCATCATATTTTTGTGTTCTCATTATCTATCTGCAGCTGTGTTGTTTCATTTTTAGCTTCCACTATCTATGTCGTTTTGTAAGCTATTTCTGAGTGGAAATCTCGGCTTACGCATGTTTGACATAAATTTACTGCACCTTCTCTAAATTTTTGTTAATAATGGTAGCGAAACATAGACTGAATTCTGTAGAATAGAGCTGGAAGCTTGGATGTTGTTTTTATGAGATTTTGTCAAAACAAAAAGGGTGGTACTAATAGGATCACTTCAGGATGTGCAGTGTCCAATTATCTTTGAGGGATTATTTAATTGAGTGAAATGGAATGGAATTATGACATCATCATAAGATATATTAATGTTGTATCCAGTCAATATTTATTGTTGTCATCATTTCTATATGTACACAGGTCAGTGAAATATAGCTGACCTTTTTAATGATTAACTCAGTTCTGTGTTTGTCCAAGTAAATGTTTGGTTGTTGCATGGCAGAGAACTCATGGCATGTTTTAGTGATTTATCAACAGGGGCCTTTTTATTGCGATTCTCTTTGTGCATTGCATTATTTGTGAGTATATCTTTTGACATTACATATATGTTGTTATTTTCCTAACAGGAAAGGAATTTCCTTGACAGTGAGACCCTTCAGAGTACCATCGGGGATATAGTGAAGAGAACTCTAGAGGAAACCACTAAATACCAGGACAAGTACATGGAGTGTGAAGTAACTGAGTCAACTGATGACAAACTGGTGATTGAAATTAAGGTAAGCTTTGGTAACACTTGATGATACAATGAATGAATGTGTAGATTACTACATGTTTTCATATGTAATTTCCATGTCGTGACCTCTACTTCGGGATCATATAGGAATTGTTAAATTTCTTATTGATTTCTTGTGCATTCTCTGATTGAAATATTCATTTTTAATATAATTGATATTTTAGAAGCTGATGTGGATTAGGTCACTAATACTTTTTAGCTCCGCTGTCGACTTTGTCGAGCGGAGCTTATCATATGAGTGATTGTCCGTCGTCGTCGTCGTCCATCTCCGTCGTCCGTGTCAATGTTTTACTTTTTCGACTTCTTCTTGAAAACTACAAGCCTGAATGCTTTGATACTTGGTGTATATGTACCTTGGTTAGACCTCTCTTAGCTTTGTTCATTTCATGTTGATATCTTTAATTCTCTAATTTTGGTGAATATTTTTGTCATTTTTGGTAAAAAATGATATTTTCGACTTCTTGTTAAAAACCGCAAGTGCAATTGCTTTGATACTACATATATAGGTACTACATGTGGACCTCTCTCAGATTTGTTCATTTTCGTGATGATATCTTTCAATTCTCTAATTTTGGTGAATATTTTTGTCATTTTTGGTAAAAACTGATATTTTCGACTTCTTGTTAAAAACCGCAAGTGCAATTGCTTTGATACTACATATATAGGTACTACATGTGGACCTCTCTCAGATTTGTTCATTTCGTGATGATATCTTCAATTCTCTAATTTTGGTGAATATTTTTGTCATTTTTGGTAAAAAGTGATATTTTTGACTTCTTGTTAAAAACCGCAAGTCCGATTGCTTTGATATTACATATGTAGGTACTACATGTGGACCTCTCTCAGATTTGTTCATTTTGTGATGATATCTTCAATTCTCTAATTTTGGTGAATATTTTTGTCATTTTTGGTAAAAAGTGATATTTTCGACTTCTTGTTGAAAACTGTAAGTCCGATTGCTTTGATATTACATATATAGGTACTACATGTGGACCTCTCTCAGATTTGTTCATTTTGTGATGATATCTTCAATTCTCTAATTAATTTATTTTGGTGAATATTTTTGTAATTTTTGGTAAAAAGTGATATTTTCGACTTCTTGTTAAAAACTGCAAGTCCGATTGCTTTGATACTACATGTATTCATATTGTTCATTTTCTAATGATGTCTTTAGTTCTTTAATTGAAATGTGCATTGCTAACAGCGGAGCTATCTCAGCCGATAGGCTGCTTGTATTCATTTCTTATTAATTTCCAATTATGATGGATCACCGAACCCTGTCAGTCATTCTATTCATTCCATTGGCCATGAACCTGCCTAATTGTTGTGCTGTGAAATTTGCTGTTGTATAAACACGCACACTGTTAGCTTCTAGTAAAATTAAGAAATGAAATAAAAACATAATGATTGGAAATGACTAAAAACAAAGCAATCCACATCATTATATTTACAAATAGCACTGTGTGTCATTTGTAAATATATAGAGTTGTTTATTTGTTGCAATCTTTTTGAATCAAATGTTCACTATTTAAATAGTAAATCAAGTGTGGTACACAGTGCTACAGACTTGTGATGGGCATTGAGAGAAAATGTTCTAATCTGTCAGGGTTACATTACAACCCTGAATTATCTAAATGTTTATGTGAGAGTATCCCAATGATATATTGCTACTGCCCTGTGGCCACTTAGTCAACATCCTGCATAGTGAAATATTAGCCGTACTTATTCCTTCTTTTCTCAGCAGCTAATAAATGAAAAAAATCAATATTCATGTTATTCAAATTGTCATATGTAGTATCAAATCTGTGATGTGTTTCCTTCATTATCACTCATAATGAGTAATTTAGGGAGTCTAATCATAAATATGCTCTAAGTTAAGCGGCTGACCATAGCTTTCCTTTTCTGGAGGAAATGTATTGAACTTGTGTCTTTCAGGAGGTGTTTTGTCTAGATTGTATGCAGCAATTTGGTTACAATACCTTATGTCTTTGTTTTATCTGTGTGCGATGTGATTAGTAGACATTATCTCTCGCATCAACCTTGTTTCTCTAGCTCATGGAATTATCAGGGAGGCGTTGTCATGGCAGTGTGGTATAATTGATGCTCTCATGACGTGTACTATGTGTCGTCTAGTATAATTCAGGCTCACTAAAGACGAGCACCTTTGATAAATAAGGCACTCGCATCTATTTCGCAGATCAATGTGACAATTTATCAGTTTTGTTTCTTCATTTTCTTTTAATTTCACAGCCAAGCACGGGGGTAGGAGACAGCAAACTGGCAAACACTGCTGATGTTATCAATGGTGGACAAAACCAGCATCATGAGAGCGGTGCGTACGAGTCTGCAGAAGCTGTGGCCCGACAGATGAATGCCTTGAACCTTCAAAATGTTGACGATGTCGGAGAGTGGGAGTCGGAAAGCAGCAGTGCCAGCAGTCCTGTAGACAAAGAAGACCCAAATGCTCCGAAGAGTGCATTTAAGTCTCAGACCCGGAAAATTACAAAATCTGTGAGTTTTAACGAGACTGTGATGGTGGAAAATTTCAAGGAGAGATCGAAAATGACACAAAAGAAAAAACCAGGCAAAGTGGAGTCATCTTTTAGGACAAAAGAACGTTTGAAAGAAAGCTCAGAGGAGGAATCTGAATCTCCTAGAAGTCCTACCAGTCCATTGAATTTCACTGACATCCCAAATGTGAAGGAGAAAAATCGACCAGGCTCTCCAAAGAAAGGAAAAAATAAATCAAAATCAAAAAACAGAGAAAATGCTAAGAACAAAAAATCAGAGGACTTTGCAAAGAAAACGATGGACAGTGCTGGTGGTGATGAAAAGACTGAAGTTACTGATAGTCGTACATCCAGGAAAAATGACGCAAGTGTGGATATGAAGCACAAATCCAATGGGAAATCAGGAATGGCATTTGCCAATACTTTGATGTATGATTTAGACTGAGCTTTTTTCGTTTCAGTTATATTACCAGGTATATACCAATTGTAGTGTTTAAAATAATAATGATTCAATTATCATTTGTACATTTGTGTTGCTATTTACTGTGAGATTCATTCTTTTAGCTCTTAATCTTTATTATAAAAAATTAAAAGAAATAATATTTGTTGCTTTTTTTTTACTCTTTTTTTTTTACTCTTTTTTTTTTTTAATGAAAATCCCGTTAGTTATACAATGATGTATTTGATTATCAAACAAAATGTCATTGTTATAATTAAATTCTCGCTCTATTACTGTCAAAATAATGTTATGCTAAATTTATTTTAGGTTGGTGTCTCTATTTTGATAACTACATGTTTAATATTCTGTTGTGTTGGGATTTCTCTTTTCTCTGTCAGAAAACCTGACATGCACAATGCTGGCGAGTTGTACATCTACATTTTCAATTACATATTGCTTTTACATGCCACAAACAGATTTCATGAATACGTTGACTTGTTGACCTCTAGTTGTGTTTCAGCCACATCTAAGGAAGAGTTATGTTGTGTAATGATCAATTAGAAGCTGATAATTATTTAATTGGCTTTTGTCATGACAACACATGGAAATACAAAATTTATCATCTGCTTTGGATGCGTATCATAGGTGGTTGTAAAGTGGTAGTTGGAGTAATTTTATAGTGATATTTTTTAACCATATCCTTTTTGTCATCTATAAGCCAACTAATACAGCTTAGGAGAGACACTGGAACTCAGTTATCACTGCCAGATGGCAAATCACTTGATTTAATATCTTGAAAAATGCTTTTTATTTTTTGTTTTTACCCCCAAATCAGTGTTCATAATTGTGGCTTACCTTATTAGGTATTCTAATTTACTAATCAATACCCTCTGATTATTGAAATCTCAACACTGGTTGAAAGATGTTTTGTTCCAAATCACAATTTGTCATTTCGGTATGTCTCATTTGATATGAATTTTGAATATTCTTTTTACAACTACTTAGTTCATATTTCTGGGAATAAATGATTCAGTAAATGTGTAATGTGGTGATTAAAGATGTAATACACCAGCGCTACTAATTTATTAGCTTTTTTTTTATTTCAATGTTTCAGAGAAATACATTACTCAGATTTTGGTTATGAAAACCAATCAAACTAGATATTTTTTTTGTTGTTGGTAGAATAGCTTTTCACCAGTGTAAATCGTTTAATTTTCGTTCTGAAGAATTTCCGCGATTTGTAATGGTGTTTAGGAAGACAAACATGCAAAAAGTGTAATTGTCATTGCTACAAATTTGACAAAAATGTGTTTCTCTACGAGATAAATCAGTTTACAAATATTTTGCAATGTGTCTTTTCATTTATTATTAATATTCAGACAAATGAAATGATGATGTACCGTAGATAATTGTTTTTGTGCAATTATGCATTTTGTAATTTCGATGGATTACATATCCTATTCCATAATTCTTCGTCTTCATGATGAATTTCACAATATTGACTTATATTTACGTGGAAAATAAACTTAATAAAGGGGAACAAAGTTCATTCTCGATACATACAGGTTTTTGACTGTTTTCTATTTCACATAATCACCGTCCCTCCCTGTTGAGGGGCATAATGAATGAATGAATGAATAATAGGCCCATTGATTTGTTGACCGAAACCAAATGTGCATCTCACTATTTGCTGATTGGATTATCATTGTGTATGGTGTGATTAGCTGACAGAACCAATCTTACACCATGCTATCAGTTAACTGGGATTGAATTACTGGTAATATCCTGTTTTCGGTCAACACTTGCTTGAACACAAATACTAAATTATTGCTGTGGAGTAATACAGGTCATAATGTATCATTCTGTGAGTCTAAAACACTGCAAGCTGACCATTCGTTGGTAGTTATAAGCCTGGCTATAAACGAGGCAAATTTGTGTTCTCTTGGTTTGTACTTTTTTACCTTGCCCATATCAAAGGTATATTAAGGGAAACATTTCTGTTCGATGTTGTTGTCATCGTTAATAATTGTTATTGTGTGCACAATAACTTTACTAATTCTATTCCAAACTTCATCAAACATGGTCACCTTATTCATCAGTATAAAGTCTTCCCTTAGTATGAACAACAGATGTCCTGTATGAAAATATCATGCAAAAATTGAGAAAATCTGATAAAATATTTTTACTGTTTCTACTTCACTGGTGAAACACATTCAAAGGTCACTGATCTCAGTGGAAATATGCATTTCAAAACCAACTCATGGAGGTTTTTTGCACAATCTGATGCACAGTTGCAAACCTACCAATAAAATCTTTACATAAAACAAGATGTCAGAAAATCAATATAAGCACTGAATTGCGTGCCAAACTTTTGATCAAGATCTGAAGCTAATAGAAAATCTGGCATTAATTCAGAGCATCTATGAACTAAGTTTCATCAAAATCCAATGAGTGGTTCTTTAGATATCAGTGAAATGGCTAAAAATTAGCTAATTATCATTAAAATTAGGTAATTAATATGCATGGATTTCTACTAAAACCTAATCAAATCTGCGCATTGGCCCAGAGCATCTATGCACCAAGTTTCATCAAAAACCAATGTATTGTTCTTGAGATATCAGTGGAACAGACAGACACACACATGCCACACATACACACGTGCAGACACACTAACTGCAAAGACTCCCATTGTGTGC